CTCTCAACAGTTGATACAAAAATCGCTGCACAGTGCACACCAATTTACTTAATATTATGAAGCTGAAGAGTTTGTTTGTTTGTTTTATTGAACTCGCTAACCTAACCTAACTATTAAACTACTGATTTGTTTGGATAGTCCATTCGTCGAGGAAGGCTATAGGCTATATAACATCAAGCTACGACCGATTAATAGAAGTGTTCAAACAGGGATTTTGAGATTTACGATGGAGATATTTGTTTGTAAATGGTTGCTATTGGTTATAGGAGAAATAATTAATAGAAATAGTACCTATTTATTTATGAATGTTTGTGTGCAGATCTCTGGGAAGAAGATAGGCTAATTTAAAAAGGGTTAAATTTGGTTATTTTTATTCATCGGATTTTAGTACGTTTAGGTTAGGTTAGAATTATGTATTAATTGATTATATTAATCCATCCACCGTATTATATCAAAATAAACTTGATATAACTTTGATACTTTAGAGTTAAGTCACACACTTAAGTACAAACAGCACTGGGTCCTCGATTTACTGCAGGTAGATTGCCTACCTGATAATAATATACTACTGCGAAATCAGAATTTTATTCCAGGCAACAGAAAAGTTAAGATAAATTTTGAACATCATAAACCGAATATTAAATAACGAATTGAACAAAGTTTAAGTCATATATAGAGTTGGTACATTTAAAGGGGAACGAAGTGCACAGGATCAGCTAGTTTTATTATATTAATATAGTTTTCATTACCATTCAAGTCATTATAATATAATATTAATATTCATATATTACCTTTTAATTGTGTTATACTATGTTAGAGGGCCATTGAATGAACACCTAAGGATTTTTGAACCTTTTAACATAATCCTATGTAACAGAGAATTTAATTGTAAAATAGAATAGAAAATACATTTGTATTATACATCAAAATGTCAAGCAACATAAGTCACATATTTATTATATTAAAACAATTAATTATGTTTTTAAAGTCAATTATAAAAAAAACAAGTTTTAACAGTAAATGAACAAATCGTCCATTAAATGAATATCAACACTCCTGTAAATGAACACTGATTTCTACCTAAGGTATATTATATTCTTTTTTACCTACTTCACTATTTGACTATTTTTTATAGGTATAAGATAAGATATATTATAGTTCAGTAAAAAAACTAGTTACTGAGTAGTTTTTTAGGGAAAATGTAACCCAATTTTTTTTCCAATATGTCAAGGATTCATTCACAGGACTGAAGGTTTAAAATGTGAATAAACCCAGTAAATAAACAGCTGTTCATTTACTGGATACAACAAATAAAACCGGTTAATGAATACTGTTCATAATTAGTGGATTTTTGTCGATTGAAAATACCAGTGCTCGAACAGCATTTAAATAACTATAAAATAAGAAAATGCTTAAAACCAATTTAATATACCTACCGCTACCTGTGTATTAAAAGATTAACTCTATCGAAAATTACCTTGTCTGAACATTTGTGGATAAAATTGAAAACGTTAATGACAGCAATACAAAAATGTAACATACCAAACGATTTGTTCAAAACTATAGTGATAATAATATTAATGGAGCGAAAAACTTATCTTTCTTACAAATCGATCATAGAGTAACGACCACAGAATAATATTCTTATTACTGTAGTAATAATAATTTATGAAATTGAATAATGCGCCAATGGCATTATATAGTTTACAGTGTTACTTTATTATAAGTTCGAAATAGTGTTAAGCTAAATACATCACTGTATTAATCGATGTATGCCTTTTTATATTTTAAAGAAAACTGCAGTGTTCGTTTAATTTTCAATATTTTCTTTTAATACCATTTTTACGCGGAACACGGTACCCTAGTACAGCATAACAATATCTTCAGTTAATTATTGCATAAATATGATTACGATAATATTGTTTTCCTTTCCATCCATAGTCGTTGTAATGACTATATTTGAAAATTACAAATTCTTAGATATAAATGAGAAAATACAATAGACGGTAAAAAAAATTCTATTATCTATAATTAAGTCCGATGAACAAAAATTTTCAAAATTGCATTTAATTTCCTAGTCAAATCTTATATCCAAGACTTTCGTTTTTATTTTTTTTACTCTTCCGCTCACCCTTAAAAGCACTATCTCAAAACTATTAAGTGCGTCCCGCAAATTATAATTTGACTTTTAAATATTTAAATTAAGGGACTTATCTATTTATTACGTTTAGCATCAAGTCTGTCCGTGTTGGTAAAATACTTGCACGTCATTTGAAAAATCTACACAATAACTCCCCACTATAATCGACACATAATCATGATAAATTCATTTTAAACTTACCTACACTCGTGAGGGCTGGTAAAAACATACACAATAGTAGGTAGGTACAGGCGTACAGCTGAACTATTTTCTACTTAATAATACATTCGAATATATAGGTACCTAGTTCTATTGTAGTGTGTAGGTACCTACAGAAAACCATTAACCTCTCTCCCAATTTTATATTGTGAGGAGATTAATTTTGACATGTTTACAGCAAAGAGCAGTTTTTCAACCCTAACCTCCAGGTTTTTATTGCAATTTATTCGTGTAGGTAGGTAATAGGTACCTCATACATATATTTTTAACTAGGAGGTTAAATGATTACCTATATTTTTAGCCCTAGGTACCTATATAAATAATGTATGCACCTACCTACCTAGGTACATCAAGTATTTATGTAGTCTAAGTATAACTAATATCTGCAAGTTTTTGGTGTCAAAAGAATTGTCGATCTCTTTGCTTGAAAATAACTAGTTATTTTTACACGGCTTAAATTTATTATAATTAGTGTTTGAAAATTACATGACATTTAAAAAAATGAAATATTTCAGTGTTTTAATAAATTTTATTTTATTTTTACATATAATTGTCATAAATTACCTTCATAATTGTATGGTAACTGTGTCCTGTATGTATATACCTAACCTTTGGTATTATACATTTAAATGGTATTCAACATTTTTAAATACTTTTATGTTTAAATGATACAAGTAGGTTAGTAGGTATACAATATTATACATGTATACCACTGAATTCTTACATTAGAATTTAGAACACTGAACATTGTGTTAAAAAATAAATAAATTGTGTAAAAAAATTTCAATGTTTCACGTTTTAGTGAAATATTTCATACATCAAACACTAATTATAATAACTAAAGGTATGTACCTACATTACAAAATGAATTAGATGGATTTATAGATCAATAAACTTAATATTAAATATTACATTCACCGAATGTTTGTACGATCACTTTCCATACCTACGTAATGATAACATTTTCAAAATAGTTTGACTCGTTTTGAGCCATTTATAGGTAGGTATATAAGAATTTTTTTTTCTGTATTCTAGGTAAGGTACCTATTTTACTGTCAATCAATAACTTTTCGTTCTTTTAAAAAATAGAGTTTAACATTTACTCGTAGTCTGTTAGTCTGTTGTGGATAATAAGGCAGCTGTAAATCAATTTGAAGAGTGTTGTTTGAACTTTGAGGTCCAGTAAGCCCGCACATAGTTTTTGAAGTTTTTGTGCTAAAATATAATTTTTATCCTCTTATAATGTCAACTGAAGTTCTTATTATAAAATATACCTAATCAATTTCTGTCATGGAAATACCTTACATAGTAATAACTAATAAGGTTATAAGCCAACAAACTCCTAAGGTTTTATTTTAATTGTAATTAAATACATTGTATTTCTTGTACAAATTAAATCATCATCTTCAACACTACTACCTAAACCCAAATAGTGAAAACTTAATAAAATATCTTTACATGATATACCTGATAAACTAAAACATTTTTAATAGTCAGGAAACATTACATTATTCATTATTGGCACCTCATTGAGAATGTATAACATTTCAAACATAAGATACAATTATTATTTGGCAACACTTACCTCATACAAATTGAGAGATAAAATGATTTGACTGCTAACACTTGCACAGAAGCACACACTAAACAACAGTCATAGTACATATCAAATTGTGTACAAAACGTTACTAGGCAACAAATAACATCAACAAAAGAGAAAAACACTTGGTTCTTAATATGTTCCAATAAAACATTATTTTATATTCCATTGTTTGTATTAATTAGTAATAATATATAAAACACCATAGTGTATGAATACAACCATATATCAAGATATGGTTTTATCCACAGTTTGAATGTGATATTAGGGCTTTAGATTTAAATAATATTACAAACTCAGAAAAATGAATAAATAAAAAAGAAAAAAACATATATAAATAATAAACAAACAAACAAATCCTAATAACTAATAATCAATATGGTATAAACAATACAATATTATAACAAGTAATGAAAACCTTAATGGTTAGTACAATAATTTAAATAATTTAAATATTATTTTATATTTTAAGGAGGTGCATCATGTCCACAAGTAAATTTACATTTAAAAAAAAATTATGAGCCACTATAAACTTGTCTCTATTTCACATCGGAAAAAAAAACAATAATTGTACTTGCATCAATTTAACAACAAGCATATCGTGGGTGGTTTAATTAACAGTCATTAACCCAGGGTATTTTATGTATTGAAAATAAGACTCTAAGGTTCTAATACACGCACACACAGTTAAGCTAGTGTGGAATTAGGAAATTATTATAATATAATTTATAAAAAATAATAATAATAATATTATATTATACACATTCATATATATCATATACTTAAAAGTAGTTATATTATAACAATTTGTCAGTTCCTAATAAAGATTAATTTTATGTGTATAATAGTTTAACATTTACAAAGATATAATAAATTCATACACATAAATAGTGAATTGACTTAGATTCACACCAAGGGTCTGTAGTCTAGACCAAAGTCAACTACTAAAACGATTTTGGTAGCCAGCTACCACTTTCAAATTGTTTAGTTTAATCTTTAAGAGATCTTTTTTGGCACAAATGTCACATTTAAATAATTAATTTAACCACTACAGACTTCTGAATGATCATCCCAAGCATCGATCTGTAAACAAAATAAATATAATTTTACATTTTAGTAAGCAAAGTTTAATTTTTGATCATTACATATTACAACAATTAGTTCAAGATAGTATAATAAAAATATGCTCTGCTAGAATTATTAAAGCAAACACTGTGTCGCCACGCTAAAAATATGTCTAGTCGACTATTTCAGGGAAAAAATATAACCAACAATAATACCAACATAAAAATAGACTAAAATAAAAACCAATTATAGCATTAGCTTCTTGAGACAGTACCTGATCGGCCTACAGTATATTTCAAAATGACATCTCATCGCCAGTCAAAATTATGAATCATCAAAGTGAACACATATTTGTTGACACAGGTGACCTGAGCAACATTTATGATGTCGACCATGACATTGAACATGTTAAATAATCTTTTTTATTTTTAATATAACTTATCAGTTTCTTTAATATAAAATTATTTTATTTTATTCTATTCACTTTGCAGATAAGAATATATAATTTTTTAATGCTTTAATATCTACTTTAATATGTCAATAGTTATTATACAACTGTGCACAATAAATAAGTTAATCACAAAGCAATATTTTCTATGCATTACACTAAAACCTACCAAAACTTAAGTGGATAACTAAAATTATTAATTCTGTTCATTGGATATGTTTTTAACATAAATGTATCAATTTACATTTTATGAAATATACAAATCCCAATGTTAAATATAAATGGACGTATTCACATAGATATAGAGTGATTCTTGATATTTTCTCTGCTGCACAGAAAACATTGAATTATATTATTATAATTTGATGTTTTTAAAATTATGATAAAAAAATAAGTATCGACGAGGTTGCTATAGGTATATTATTTATCAGTTACAAGGGGCAACCTTAAAAAAAATTGTACCTAGATTTTATGGGTACACATTTTTTTTGTTTTCTATGGTAGAGTAGTTAAATTATTCATCGATTGCTAGGGGCAGCCTAGGTACTGTAACACAAAATTTTATTGTCATGGCGATTGTAATGCAAAATAGCCTACAAAAACTGTGTGTTAGGAAAAACGTTAGATTTCACCGAACAAAAAAACCAATTAAATAATTATGGAAATACATGATTAATGAAACTTGGAAGTAAGTAACTTATCATTAAACTCTTAGTACATAACGAGGGCCTCGACTAATGAGGTTTAACTTACTCACTCTTGTATAATACGGCATATATCAAATTTTTACATTCAATTTAACAATGACAATTCGGAAAACGCATTTAGTCAGGTAATAAACCAAATACGAAATCTAGTAACTGTAAAATATTTTTCAATCTATAAAATTTATGATTTATTGTGGACATTTTTTTTGTTAAGGGATAACTTTGAATATATTGTTCATTTTACTAATTTGAAAGGACCGTGTCCATTGGATTATAAAAAAAACATATTTTATGTAAATATAATTTACTTAAGCTTTTTGTGCTTCAAATTTATAGTTCATGTTTGGCATCGTGTGAAAATAACCTCTTTTCGTAATATATATTAGATGTCATCTTGTATCCGAAACACACGTGATTTTAGAACCCAGACTACATACTATAAATCTTTACATGAGTTATGTAAACCATACATGCCCGAATTTAGAATAACATACTGTAATGCTAATACACCAATGAAAATTAATATGGGAATACAGGATTATCAATTGATTAACTCTATTAAGTAAGGACCGTGCAAGTGCTGCATTTGCACAACCAGTTTACGCCACTGAAGCCGATACTGCAATATTAAACTGGTCAATGGTAATTGTTGACAATGGACTTCTCATGGTTAAGTAACAAAAGAGTAATCCATACTCTGTCCCAAAAGAGAATAATCACTTTTCCCGCATCACGAATGATTTTATTGGTGCGTTGAGAACCACGTGATCACGTTAACACGGGAAAGTTGGTGGGGAATGCGCGGCACTGACGGAAACCGGACGGCCGACTGATTATTCTCTTTTGGGACAGAGTATAGTTCCTTTTTTTATTTTGTAACTTATAATCATATAGAAACTATTTTTTTTAACAGCAAAATACTACACGTTGTAAACATGTAATAATAATTTAAAACCAAAATTAAATAATGTAGATTTGCTAACAAAAAATAGCTAATCAAGAAGGGAAATATTTTACTGAAGTTGCAAGTAAATTAATATTATTTAAATGACAAGAAATACTTTTTTTCTAAAAAAACTATAAGTTTAATATCACGTACTTGACAGTCTTTGCTGCAGTACCATTGATTGCCACATCCAGCACAAACAAATTGTGCAGGTTTTTGCATACAACCTTGACACTGTGGGGCACTAGATGGAGAGTTTGCATTCATAACATCTTGTCCTTCGTCAATAACCAGTCTATCAGATGCGTCTTCATCATCTACCTGAGCAGGCTAAAAACAAAAAAAAATAAATAGCAACACCGTTGTAAATATTTTAGAGCAGGTTAATCTTACTGGTATATTTGACGAACAACTTGGTTTTTGTTGAAAAGTTGAAGACATCGACGTACTCTGAACTGGTGTAATAGTTATTTCATTACGAGATTGCTGAAATATAAAAAATATAATGAGCATATTTACTTTTGATAGTACCATAAATGTGTAAAAAATATGTGAATGTTCAGTGTAATTCATATTTGATTTTGTTTGTTAAAGTGTGTATTGGCAGAGAGTAGACCACTTGGCCCAATAGCTTATAGTTAATTTGCCTGTTTGGCAGAAATTATAGTTGGGCACCTGCAGGGTTTTGCAATATGCAGTGATGAGGGGCTTCTTTTCCTAGACAGTTTCCTCTACCTACAGAAACCGTATTATAATATAGATATAATAATAGTTATCATGACAAACTCATTAAGTTAAATTTTCACTGTGAAGGATAAATATATGATTGCAATAGTATTAGGTATAATGAAAGATTTAGTTAAAATTAAGTTATAAGCAACAAATGTACAAATATAATACATGAATATGCCACAACTTAAATGTAAAAAAAAACAACGGTAAAATATCACTTCTTTTAAAGACAACATTTAGTAACTAATTGTAGTTATATTATAATTATTTTTAATAAAATATTTAAAAAAAAATAGCCTATATACCTATTATGAAAAAAATAGGTTCAGGGACTTGATGTTTTTATTTGATGTATTGTACTGGTTTTGGCTGTTAACAAAATATACCTAATAAAATTATTTTAATGTAATATTTTGTTGTCTCTGTGTATATTTCAAATTAGATGATCCCAATTTAATAAACAATTTCAAAGGTGTCATACTAAAGAGATTTTTAAAATTATATTTGAAAAATGAATACTTACCCACCCAACCATGCAACTTTGCAATTTGTGAAACACCTATGAGCTATTTAACTAATTTGATTTGTGTTACTGTAATTATTACAAGAAAACTATTTGCAAAGCATAGAAAAATATTGAAGAAATGTCAGCATCTTAGTTGTAACTTACTTAGTATTGTTTTTAGAATATTATGAATTTATAATACATCATTATTTTTTTTAATTGGCTATCACAATAAAGTATAAACTACCATCATGTACCGATGTGCATCTCCTAAAATCCAATTCCTTGTAACTTATCTGGGATTTTAAAATTACATTTATGAAAAGGTAGTAATTTTTACTTTTTTTAATCCTACTAAATCAATATTTAATATACACCTCATCTAAATGTTATTGCAAGTATGTAATGGAACTTATAGATAGCTGACAGTGATACAGAAAAAAAAGGTTTATGCTATTGTAGGGTATCTGTAAGTAGCGATTTCACTTTAATAATTTAATTAGTATTTACCGCATTGGAAGAGACAACAGTAGCTGCAGGTGCTTGCCGTTTTCCTCTGCTTTGCTTGCATCGTTCTGGAGCAGTTAAAAGTCTTGCTAATGTAGGCGAATAATTGGTCGGAGGGTGTGACATACTAAGTGGTAAATGGTGTGTACCGGCGCCTTTGGTTAAAATTCCTATAAGAATAAATTAATAATTATCACCAAAAATACATCAAATTAATAGGTACATATAACCTAATAATCAACAATAAATGGTGTTCTTTTTACTTTGTAAATTTTCACTCATTCATATATTATATTAATAATCTCTTGAGCCTTTTTATTTGTTCAAGAAAGTCACCTTTATTGATTGTACAAGGTTCATATTCTTAATCCAACTATATGAGCATTAGGCATAATATATTTATGTTATAAAATGAAAAGTAATTATTTTGTTCAGCTTATGACTAATGGGTAGTACCTAAAATACTTTTGCAATATCCATTCCCACCAGGTTTTACAGTTCAAATGGAAAATTAAAGAGTTAAACACTTTGAATATAATATATTCAATAGTAGGTATTGCTTACGATTGGCAATTATTTGAATATATCTATACTTAGGTTTATTATTCGTTATGTGCTATCTATATTATGATGGGCCAAAAATGTCATTTGTAAATACAAATTTTGAGGATTTCTTACTTAATAAATATCTTAACTGATAAAAATTACCATGCAATAGAGATGTTGGCTGTGGTTGTTGTATTTGTTGTTGTTGCAGTAGTTGTTGTTGTTGTTGTTGTTGCTGTAGTTGTTGTTGCTGCTGCATTGGCTGCGAGACTGGATGTAATGTAACTTCTGGAAAAGCAGGAACATCTTTAAAACGATTATGTTCAGACCCATGTTCCATAACATTATTTGGAACTCCATGGGTGTTTGTGATAGCTGAACAAAACACAATATTTTTAAATATTCAAATTCTGATAAAATTATGCAATTAGGTAATAAGTATTCAAATTCTGATAAAATTAACCCATTATTCAACTTACTAGTTTTAAAATTTCCATCACTGGCATGATGAAGTGGATTACCGAAACCCATAGGATTTGGATAACGTAATGGAGCTGAAGATGTAGGTACTGAAAAATCATTGGCATTCGCCTTCCGGCGGCCTCTTTTAGTAGTCACACCTGTTTCAGGATTTTTTGATCGATGATCAGCAATAATTAGCTTGACATCTAATATAGGACCTTGTCGGCCTTCTTTATGATTGTTCGCCGCAGAAGGCTTAGGCAGTATTGGTCTTTGAACACGATTGGTGCGGTTTACCCTATCCGACACTGTCCATTCATTGGACTGAGCATTAGATGACGAAGCCACTGGTGTGATACTAGTATTAGATGATGAAGAGGCATACATATTCTGATCATAATTATTAATTGCCGACTTTTCGAGTTGACTATCACCGCGGTTGTCAATAATATCTAAGATATTCTGTTGAAATAAACATTAATTAGAAATGATTAGTTAATAAATAAAGTATTTTTAATTGTGTTACAATACCTTTTCACTTAGTATGTGTTCGGGCTGACTTAAATTAATTTGAAACATTTCTGGTAAATTCCAGTCTTTGCTGTTGTCTGTCTTAATAGCATCAAATTCTTTTAGTTTAATCATTAACCGTTCAATAATTTCCTCTTTAAGTTTTTGTAACCTGATCAGAGTCACTAACTCGTCACGTTTAGTCTGTGCTATTTCTGTGATTACTTTTATTTCATTTTGTATTTTTTCTACATTTCTGTTTAATTCAACTTCATTTTTACCACTTGACTGTACAATATTCTTGATCAATCGTTCTCGAGTATCGTCTTTTAATAAAGGATGGTCTTCATCAGATCGTAACTTTTTAATTTTAGGTAAATCGTTATCACTGCTTGCTCCACTTACAACACTAAGTTCATCGTGACTAGCAGCAGACCTCTTGCGTGCAATTGGTTCATCTATCTGAAAATTACATAATAATGAAGGAAAATTGCATAAACCTAATGAAATTTACATTTAATAAATACCTGCTTGGGTGAAAGTGTATCTGTACTAATTTCACTAGACATATCCTCTTCTTCGAGAACTTTACGATTGACTTTTTCAGATTTAAAGTGTTTATCATCTTCAAGTTTTATCTCCCCATTCACTGGATTTGTTTCTTCTTCGCTGTTCTTCAATACTTCGTTACTAGTAGTGATAACTTCATCCTTTTGATTTGCATTTCCGTTAATAGGTTTTTCGGTTTCTTGAGTTTCTACGTGTTCAGTGACTTCTGGTTCGTCAACTTCTAAAGTTTCTTTCTTAATAACTACATCTTCATTAGTTTGAACTACAGTTTCGTCAATCTCCATAGGCTTTACTTCTTCATCTTTTTCTTCATTTATTATAGGATCATCATCATTAGTTGTAGAAGTTTCACCATTAATGGCTTCTACGGAGTTTTGTTGCTCTACAGATACCCCATTTTTCACAATTTTATCAGTAGTTTTGGACAAAGGTTCAGTCTTGTCTTCTGGATCTTTTTCTTTTTTAACCTTTTCTTTTTCTGATTTTTCTTCTTCATCATCTTCATCTTCATTATCATCTTCGTCATTGTCTTCTTCTTCTTTTTTAATTACAAGTTGTGAGGCTTCATCAGTTTCAATAGCATTGTCTACAGCAGTTCCATTTAACTTTTTGTGACTATCACCATTTACTTTTGTTGTAGTTTCCAAATCATCGGTCTTTGTATCCGAGGGACTAGCATCAACCGACATTTCGCTGTTCGCACAATCATCTGCCGGGATCGGCATGCGACTAATTTGCATCTCGTCTTCTATCGTGAAATACCTGGAAAAACAAATTTAATTATTCATCAAAACGCTTTGGCACAACAATACATGACTAGAAAATGTCATTGGCCATCACTACAACAACCTTATCTCCAAATGAACAGTATTGAGATAAAAAGATCTCTAATGGTATTCATCTCAATCGGACAATGACAATGACAACGAATGGTATGTAGTACATTAATCAGTGACCCGCAATTACACGTCTTGCTATACAAGTTACGTACCACCTACCTAGTCGTTATTAAATGTTTTCTTATCTAACTAATTATAACACATTCACGGCTTAACGACCCATACTACCATAGTACTGACTTATAGCACGTATACACGAACTGAACAAGAGTACCTAGTTAGTTATTGCATTCAGTCAGTGGCGAGGGTGTGTGTAATTTTGGGGTTGGGGCAGACGACTGAGGAGGAGCTGTACGTATAATAATATATTATAATACCTATGGTACTACTACCCGCCGCAAGTCGACCAGAGTAAAACAACGGAGCACAGACCGACACGCGCGTCGAAATCCTTCTGGAAAATATCCTTCTCTCGAGAGGCCCGTCCTCTGAACCGGACGACAATCCGACGCACATCCGAGCACAGGTCTCGACCGATATTACAAGATTAATATTATTTCGCAATAATGGTGACGTCGTGGTAAGGGGAAATGCGGAAAAAAATTCAAACCGAAAGCCCTAGAGTCGCACTTTCGAGAAAGAGTACCTACTCCACGCACACGGCGAGAGCGTAATGAATTCATCACTGCGGTCCAGTTTCCCATTCGACTCGCACAGTTCGTTTACCTCGGCGGCGGAGGTAGCGGAGGAGGCGGTGGAGGCGTGCGCGCGCGGTTTGTCCTACTTAGACGCCGTCGTCGCCGAGTGCCGACGGTGCAACGACGGCCGCGGCTGCAGTCGTCACGGCCGCACGCGCGAAAATAAAAGCGACGAACTGTGCACGGGTAGGTATAGTAATAGTGGTAATAGTAATAATAATAATAAATAACAACAACAACAAAAACAAAATAATACCAAAAATATTATGGTAACATATAGTACGTACCACACGAGAGCGGTTATCAAAATTCACGGCACATGGGACGACGTGGGTAGATAACTGTTACACGGCAGACGGAGAGAAACTCGAGAGTATAGCACAAAAACGGTCGATACGGGAATTGCAGCGAGGATCACACGTTTTGCGTCACGGCGACGGCGAACAACCGGGGCGGCACAATGCCGATTGAGAAATACGACGAAAAAAAAAAAAAAATCGCGTAAACAATAACGACGGAAACGGCACCCTACGCGGGAGCGGACACGACGACACGAACGATCCGATTGGTCCGAAGGAATCGCGCACACAGCGAACGAAACGTAGGGACGGCGCGAAGCGGCGGCGGCGGTTCAAGGCTAACGTCGAGTGAGCGCCGAGCGGAGGTGACGGACGGCCGCGACCACCGAGAGAGAGACGGGACGCGCGCGCGCGCGCTATAGACGGTCGGCGGAGCGAGCGAGACGGCGGCCGTGCCGGTGTGACTGAGAGAGCGAAGCGATCGTCGGCACTCGGCGGATGGACGGACGGACCGAGCGAAACGGATACCGCGCGCGCGGCAACAGGCTTGCAAACGTCGCGGCCGCACATTACCGTGCCGGCGGAGTCACGACAGTTTTCGCGGCGGACTTTGTCGTTATAATAATAAATAACAATATTACACCTATATGGGTCGAGGCCTTTGCCAGTTCTTATTTCGCCGCTAAAAGTCGGCCGCTAGACCATGTTCTTGCTCCGTGTCATAACTTATCATTGCGCATCATGAGGCGGAAAAAGCCGTTTTTGGGAGGGGCTCGCCCGTCGCGCCCCCTCATTCGCGGAGTTGGGACACGCCGACTCGGCTGCGGAGTGCGGACTGCCAATTCCACTAAGGGATGCGCACGGTCTCTCGTAGAGTTCGTTTGAAGTAGAATGAAAATAATAATAATCTTTTCTCCGATGCTTTATTTTACCCAGAGAACTTCTTATAGTCCTATATAGTTTATTTTCTTATAATATAGGCATCAGGCGTCTATATCGAGGTTTGAGTCACCACTGGTGTGTATAGAAGCAGAGCTGACTCTGATTTCGCACAACGCAAACACAACAATATATTTTCTTATTATATTATTACATATAATATTTTGTGCGCATCGTTCGGCAGCCACGGGCGCGATTTTCAACGAAATGCAGTTCGGTAGGACGACGCGCGGCGTGTGTTCGCGCGTGCGGTAGCGACGAAGGGCAAAGCAAGGACATTGCCGGGACCGTCGTCGTCCGAGGCAGACGCGCAAAAACATTTTTACCCGACGACGACAACGCCGACGCCGCCGCCGCAACCACCGCACCGGCGGAGCGGTCTGCTTGACCTTGAGCGAGACCTGCTGCACTGCGCATATTATTAAAATATATATATATTGCACACGCGTAAATACCGCATAGGCGCATACCACATGCCACGGAGACGTATAGTCGTCGGCCACGTTGGTGGTATATTATAATATTTAGTGGGTATTGGTGGACGGAGGTGGCGGCGGCGGTGGTGGTGACGGTAGGTGGAGGTCTACCGGAAAAATTTGGTTAGGTACATTTTTTTTGGTCAGTAAATTGCATGTTAATATGCCGATTACTCGCCTTGACGTTTTAGTTTATTGAATTCGTTCTTTTCGGACGACACTTTTTAAGACGGGAAAAATGAAACGAAGTCGACGATCGGCTATAACAATACGCTGCACGTGGCACGTTTATTACAATATAGTACAGCTCGAAGTCACACCTGCAGCGATTATAAACTAATATCTCATAGGTCTATGCGTGCAGCACACCACACTGTACAGCAGTGGCATACCCGGGGCAGGCTTTCCCGGCCATTTTACCGCCTCCTATCGCCTTTCAGAAAATTATAGGTTATTGGTGTAGTGGGTATTCGATCATTCCGTGTACATTTGTTTCCAAGTTCTAACGCGTGGACTCTGGACTTATACAATATCTCATATTGTTGAGAAATAAATTATTATTGTTTTTTTTTTTTTGTATTGAAGACGAAAACTAAATCAAAAGTGTTGCATAATATTTGGTTATTACGTCTTATTTTTATAATATACCGTCGTCAGCATCCCTCGTTTTGGCTGTTCATACGTATTGTTTACCCGCCCGTATATATATATGAAATTACAATAATTATAAAAACCACTCGTCAGTAGTCACTTAACACTAACACTTTTTTTTTTGATCTTATGCATATAATATCTGAACATGTTAAGTAGGTAGGTACCTATAATAATATATAATATAGTGTTTATAATATAAGCGTGCGCTTCCCTATTCCTATTGTATAATATGCGTGTCCAAGTGCGAAGTGCGATGTGAGAGGGATGACAATGGTGTGGACTTATCTATGAATGGACCGTAGCACATTCATTTTTCTACAAGAAAAAAAAATACAATTGTTCCGATTACAAACTATGTACAAAGTTCAATCGCCCCCTACCGATAATCGTGTGTCACAATATTGTCACCGCCACCAACAATAGTCCATTCTGCGTTTTGAATAATATTGTTCACCTTTTGTGAGTGATAGTGAACAGTATATTTTAGTCAAAATTGTATTAACGTGTTCGAGTTAAAGATTAAAAACGCATTAATTTTGGTTTGAATCATTTGTTATAATATTGCTACATCTCTATCTAAATCATCTACAGCTATATCTATGTACGGCCTTCGACGGAGCACGCGCGGCGTTGTTGTGCCTATATAGGTATACAGGGACCGCTGGCCACTATAATATAATTGTTGATAATTACATAATACTATTATATTAATCGTTACCTATAGTATCACACATTTTCACTTTGATAAAATTATATTGACGAGCCACCTCTCTCGAGTCTCGGGTCAACTTGAGCCTGTGTGCAAACTGCGAACGCGTTGTTTAAAATTGTTGACAACGTATATTCCTGCACGTGTCACCTCCATTATAGTAAACTCATTCTTAGTATATACCTATATTAAACTACAGGAATTTTATCTGGCCAGTAGACAAGAAATTTATTTTTTAAGCTATTAGATATTTGCATGGAGGAATATTGAGGCTTTCTTTTTATTTTTTTAATTTTGCCTTCCCTTTTTTTGTTTAAACAAGTATAGTATTTGATGCCCCCCCCCCAAAAATTATTGAATTTCTAATGTAACCCTCCAGAAATATTAACTGGTGACTCTGTCATATACTATTATATTATAATCTAACACTTAAGTCAAACGTTTAAAGAATATTTTTTATTCTATTTACATATTTTTATCGAAATTATATATCCTATACAAAACATTTTATACATAACCTAACCTAACCTAACCTTTTTATACATTACATTTTCTTTTACGATATAATACCTATAGTTATACAGATTTAGTTGGTAGTCGGTGGATTATAGAATAGCATCTATATTATTATTATTTAATAGTGCCTAGTGGCATATTAATAGTATTTAATACGGCATATAAAGAACTTAATATACATAATAATATATACTAATCGGTTATTTATATTGTAATAAATATATTATAATATTATTGTACATGTCTATTTAATAGGTTTCATTCATATAATCAAATACGTACGATTTGTGTAAATGAAAAATGTTTAACATAAATATGTTTTTTGGCTGGATACACATTTTTTTGTTTCTGACTGATTCTTCGTAAGGTTATCGTTGTCATGGTTACTTATTAACAAAAACATATTTATGATTCATAGACATTCCAAGTAGAGGACAAAATATATCAAGTAGCGTGCTCTATGATTTTTTTCTTTATAAAATAATCTGACATAAAATGCGTTGTTATACCTACTGACTGTCTGACTACTTGTATAATATAATTACTATACCAGCTTCTACAAATGCATTAAATACTAATTTTATTCTAAACAAGTAAGCTTGATTTGACCTATATTTCAATCATTTTATTGT